CTCACCATTGATGAAAGGTGCACAAAAAGAAAGACGTTTCAACTGGTGTAGGGCTCACGAAAATCAAGATCGTGATAATTTTTTCTTTTCTGATGAAATTTCTGTCTGCCTTTTTCCGAACTGTGTGAAAATTTGGACAAAAGATACCGTGAAACTTATCTACCAACGCCCAAAACATAGCCCGAAATTTCACATGTGGGGTGGGATATCATCACGTGGAGTGACGCCGTTGTGTATTTTCACTGGAAATTTGATATGTTGACATCTTAAATGATCACCTCCTTCCAACGGCCCGAACACTATATGAAGATAATTGGATTTTCCAGCATGATAACGACCCAAAACACACTGCGGGCTACACAAAACAGTGGTTGTCGGACGAAAATGTTCAAGTTTTAGACTGGCCCAGCTGCAGCCCAGATCTTAACCCTATTGAGAATGTGTGGGGACTAATGAAGGACAGAATAAATCAAACAGGACTTAGAAATATTGAGGATATGAAGAAAGAAGTGGTCGAATATTGGGATACGCTGTCACACGATCATTTCCTTCAAACTTTGATCGGTACTGTACCTCGGCGCATTCAGTCGTGTATTGCAGGGCAAGGAGGTCTCACAAATACAGAAAAGACGCTTAGACTGTAAGAGAATCGTATCTCAACATATTCAGTTAAGTAAACATGAAATCCCTTGGGGGTCACAGTGATTTCACGAAATCACTGAATCTTTTAGGTATTACATGAAATCCCTGGTTTCACACATTCCTTGTAACATATATACATGTATGAAATATTTGCCAAAAACACTTTCTCCATAATTTCTGGGAATACTATATCAGTCTTCAAACTTACTTCTGTGATATAGAAACAGTGTTTTCAAGGTAGAGTTCTGATATTTGCAGATTTGGAGGTGCCATATTTCGAATTTTGAATACAACAGGGAGCATTCTAATTCAAATGTTAAGTATTGTGAAGCAAAAGTTCAAAATAGAACCGTAATAATGTACCACTTATACGAAACGTTACCTACTGATGACTTCAAGCCAACCAGTTTCGTTGCATATTCCACGCATGACTTGGAAGGCATTAGCATGATAAGCTCAGCATAATTCTCACTTATAATCTACTGAAACAAATGTATACATTAAGAAACTATTATTGAACCCTTTACGTATTAGATGTCACGGATTGCTTATTGAGATGATTTCACCCTGATTTGCCAGTTATTTCGTTTGCTGTAAAATAGACGATGTCATTCTAACGAAGTTATTCTGTGGGAAACACACATAAAATGAGCGTAGTTATTGGTTTGAGTTAGCAATGCAATTACTTTATATAACCTCTTGAATAGTAACGTTTCGGTCGGTCTTTTCTCATGTAACGAACCCCCAAAATATGAGCAATATTGAAATGATAAACAATATTACAATAAACAACAACTGAACAAAAACACATTTGAAAAAGATGACAAATATTTGCGGAGTCAAATGTTGGTTGAAAACAACTACATCGGACATACTATTACCATGAAGCGGACACTTTAACCGTAAGCCTGTCTTGGCTCGGCACTGGGTCTGTACAAGGAGACGGCGTCTTGTTGGACACCCTGTCATCAGCGAGGCCTAGAGTGGTCATGTATCACACAATGTTCCATACTTTCACTGAAACCTATAGCTATAACACGTCAACGACAGGGAATAACAAGTCTAGATTACAATCCGACACATATAGCGCTGGGAGTAAAAGTTTATGAATGGATAACTGAAATTCGGTGATGACATATGGTGTTCGCGAAAAGCTGTCTAAAGAGCCAACCAGTTATTGGAGCATTTTGATAAACTTTTCAGGCATTTAAGTGGCTGGAAAATATATCATGTGAACATTTGTAGGAATAATCTTCCTATGTGAGGCTCAAATTTACCCTTGTGTACGGAGATCGAACCGCGACCTTCCTTTGGCAGACGCTACACCCACTACACCAGGGAGGCTGCCTGAGCAGAATGAGCATATGCTTGTAACACGTGTCGATACATTGTGTGGTCAGCCTCGGGGACTGTTCGGAATGCCTAATGGTGTGAATATCCTGCATTTAGTCACTGGTCTGTCCGGTCCAAACTCGATTGTCCACACAGTCATCGAAATTGCTAGAACTAATTATGTCTTAAAATAACTTTCACTTAATAATGACGCAGTCCCAGTGCCGACCTTGTGCTGCTTGACCTGTAGGGTTATATACTGGGGACCTGAAGGTCGAGTTGGGGATCGAGACGGTCGAGTTTGAGATTGAGTTAGGTCGAGTCAGGTCTACTACGTTTCGAAATCTTTTTGACATGTCAAAAACTTTCCCCGATTTCTTCCTCGACCTTCTGTCCGAGATGGGGTCGAAACCAGGTCGAGAATAGGTCGAGGTAGGTCGGAAAAAGGTCGAGTTTAAGTTGAAATGTGGTCGAGTTAGTCGAGTTGTAGGTAGAGCTGGCTTGACATGCCGATCTGTGTTCGTCTTGGAGTCGATCTGCATTCGACCTCGATTCGACATTGAGTCGACCAACTCGACCTGGAGTCGACCTGCTCGACCTGAAGTCGACTTCTCTCGACCTCATATCTTCCCAATTGCTTCATTAGAGCCAAACAGCAGCCAGAGAGTGAATTTGCCAGAGAGATAATCAGCATTGAAGGCGTCAATGAGGTGAGGTGAGGTGAGGTGAGGTGAGGTGAAATTGGGTTTAACGTCGTGCTTGAGAATATTTCGCTCATATGACGACGTGCATGCGTGTGTGTGTATGTGCGGCTGCTTGTACTAGCCCAGACTGAAGCTGGTTTTATAGTGCTAGCTCACTGAGATACCATGCCGCATGAATACCCCACTCAGACACATTATACTGACTCCGAGCCGACCAGTCCTTGATGTACCCATTCATGCCGAGTGCCAGGCAGGGACCAACAAGTACCATATGTTAACGTCTTTTGGTATGACGCGGTCGGGGATCGAACCCGCGACCTTCCGCTCTCCGGGCGGACGCTCTAACCACTACACCACGGAGGCGGTCGAAGGCGTCAATGATGGCCTGTAGCACCTTGTGCTCATATAAAGTTGGTGGTCTTCTTATGAGGTGTGGGGCGGTGGGGTAGCCTAGTGGTTAAAGCGTTGGCTCGTCACGCCGAAAATCCGGGTTTGAATCCCCGGTACAATGTGTGAAGCCCATTTCTGGTGTCCCCCCGCCGTGATATTGCTAAAAGCGGCGTAAAACCATACTCACTCAGTCACTCTTATGAGGTGTGTTCCGATCCATGCAAGCAGCTAACCCGGTCTATTCAGTCGCCCCTCTGGACAAGCTCAGGTTGCTGTCGACCTGTAGCCTACCTCGGTTGTCGCATGAATGTAAATATACAATGAACACAATCTATCGAACTAGTCAAGTGCCTTGAATACAAACTTAAGAAGTTGTCATGTGCACTACTCGGTGTCCCTCAGGGATATGTGTGTTTTATAATGTTTGGGGTCAGGGTCACCGCTGATAGGAGCTGAATATGCCCTGGTTATATCGACACAGGGCTCCACTGTTATACCTGTGACTAGTCTGTCTCATAGTCCCTTTACCACATTATTTCCCCTACAGCCAAGACCTCCCTCCAATGCTAAAGTCCTAAATGAAGCAAGTCTAGATTTCCTCAGGTTCAGAATTTCCCACCTGACTGGGGCTCATTTATAATTTAAAGGTGTTTATGTGTTACTATCAAAAAATATATATATTCAGAGACTAAGCGTTAGTCTAGAGTTGTGGCAAGCACGTCTCGCTACCAATAGACATTTGTAATATACAAAGTGTGTGCTGTTCTCGCAAACTTGTTCTCGTCCCTATATGGCTGGAATAATGCCGATGTGACGCAAAACCCAACTCAACTCAGAGCCAACTGTTCTTACAATTATTGAATAAGTATAGGACGTCCAATTTTCTAAGCAGTAATAATCACCCCAATTCTTCTCCAGTATGCATGAGTGTGACGGGGATAATTCTGGTAATTGTCAAAATTGTCAATCTTTAGGACCAGTGGTATTTGTAAGAGTTATTTGTAACCATGGACACAGTAACAAATAAAAGTAATGTTACAACAACGATTTCGGCTGAAATTGAGAGGAGAATGTAATTGATTTTGTAATGAGCTTGAAATAATTACCCGGTGTTAACTTAGCCTAGTACACGCATGTCAGAGCTGAATGAGCATAAAGCTGGTTCAGCATTCTGAATCACCCCTAGCACTATCTAACCAGTAAAAGCTATAACCCCCAAGCTTGCATTCAGTCCCTGTCATAGATCATTGGGTTGTATGAAAAGAAAGTCACAGACTGAGTGCGACCCGACACAAAGAGTTGTTGAATTTGGACACAAGAAGAGTTCGTTGGTCTGTGTGTTGATACGCCTCCATGACGACACTGTGTAGCGGGAGTCGACCCATGCCATCACTGGCTGTTCCCAGAGCAGCGTGCCCCAGTTTGCTGGTCGGTAAAGGCACGGTCGATCGATACACAGGTAAACAATCCCCAGGTGATTGGAACAACAGCACCCCAACATCGTGGATAATAACAACGCTCGTGGTTGGTGCTAGCTGTGCTGGGAAATCATGGAGGGATTCCTCGATCTGAGATACACAAAAAGTAAGTTGAAAAAAACCCACACAAGATTTATTATTCATAGATATTGATATTTTCCTCAAGCTGTAAATCACTTTGATTTTCACTACCTTTAACATCCTTTATGTCGTGTGCTTGAAATGAACTGATACAACCAGTTAAGGTTGTCGGGTTCAGTAGATGGTTGGAATCGGTCGCTGTGGGTTCCTCGCATGGAAAGGACTTTGGTAACCGCAGTCCTCGGCAAACTGCGCTCATTTCATGTCAGTCCTTATGAAATATTCAGGAGTTCTGGTTATATTGGCTGGCGTATCGGTTTTCTCCTCTTCGACGTGTGCCACTTCTTCCGACACAGGTCTGTGCCTTATCCTCCTTCCCAACTGTCTTCAGGGGTAAGGATCAAGGAACCAGTGAGTGCTTTCACGTGGTCACGGTGCCGGCCAGAGTTGAGGTGTGGTTGACTCAAGTACCTGTGATGTACTCGGAAGGGGTAGACGTTGTGCCACATCGAATGGTACGTGGTGGGATGTAAGGATCCCCCGCCAGGAGGTGACTCGACACCTGATGCTGCTAGAGATTGAATGCCCACCTGAAGGACCACGGTTCCTGTACGCTGACCTGTAACGTCGGGATTCTTCAGGAATGGAGGGTACGTGGGTGGCTGTTCAATGTTGTGCTGACATTCGTTGGTTGTGGGAATTGTACCTGAGGATACTGCAGTTAGGCAGATGGATTTCGTCATAGATGTGATATGTCGTTATTCTAACGAGAGATCTCACAGGACGGGAAGTTCAGGTATTGTAGAACAGCAGCATTGTGTGTGATGATAAATATTTATGGTACCATTACCGATGCACTGAAACATCGGATATTACTGATGCAGACAGACAGACAGACAGACAGGAAATATTCAGATAAGTCTAATCGTGTCATGCTGCAAATTTTATTGATACTTATATGGAACATATATATTCATATATATTATACCACACACATTACATCAACTTTACCGTGGGGGATATACCGCATACGCATTTAAACTAAGGTTACTAGCTAGGAACTGGCGATTCAGATGATACGTTCTTTAGTCTGTAAAATTTGAGCAACCAATATTTTCAAAATCTAGAAATCTCTACCAAAGAGCACCCAACTGTAGGATAAGGGGAGTAAAACAGGCGCATATGAGTCACTATTAAATGAGCGACTGTCTTGCCTTATTGGTGGAACCAGCAGCAAGTATAATCACGTCAGGTGTTAATCTGACATTTGGGTGAAAATAGAGAATAAGGTCAGCGTTAGAAAGGAGGATATAAAATATTGCTGACATAAAGTCAGTTTGAGGATAGCTCATACCATACCACCAGAGACCACATGGGTATATGGTCTCTGATAATACCTAGAAAGTATAAGAGTAGATGCATACTACAATACATTCATGAGATGAGCATAAGGATAGATAGTATAACACATACACATGCGAGGCGAGAATAAGGACAGATGGTATTACACAGTTATAAGGTGAGTATAAGGACAGATGGTATAACATACACATGCGAGGTGAGAATAAGGACAGATGGTATTACACAGTTATAAGGTGAGTATAAGGACAGATGGTATAACATACACATGCGAGGTGAGAATAAGGACAGATGGTATTACACAGTTATAAGTGAGTATAAGGACAGATGGTATTACACAATTATAAGGTGAGAATAAGGATAGATGGTATAACACATACACATGCGAGGCGAGAATAAGGACAGATGGTATTACACAGTTATAAGGTGAGTATAAGGACAGATGGTATAACATACACATGCGAGGTGAGAATAAGGACAGATGGTATTACACAGTTATAAGGTGAGTATAAGGACAGATGGTATAACACATACACATACGAGGTGAGAAAAAGGACATATGGTATTACACAGTTATACGGTGAGTATAAGGATAGATGGTATTACACAGCTATAAGGCGAGTATAAGGATAGATGGTATTACACAGTTATACGGTGAGTATAAGGATATATGGTATTGCACAGTTATAAGGTGAGTATAAGGATAGATGGTATTACACAGTTATACGGTGAGAATAAGGACAGATGGTATTACACAGTTATAAGGTGAGTATAAGGATAGATGGTATCAGCACAGTGAACACGTAAGGTCAGTAAATGGATAGTTGAGAACATATTGCAGAAGATAATGACACACTATGTACCACAATGCAGACATCAGGTCCGTCAAAAGTTATGGGAATGTAGTGACATTTCATATATGTGATCGATATGTGGTAAATAATGCTCCCACGTATGTGACGTGACATCATTATACAGTGACAACAGTCGGTAAGACCCAGTACATACTTCTTTATAGACACTGGCTGGCACAACACCACCGACTGCAGGACACTCGCTGTCTTCCGTGGACGATTTTTCTTTTTCAGTGACAGGATCGTCATTTGCGTTTATGTTCTTTTGTCTTTATATTTTTAGAAATACCAGGCAAAGGTTATAAATCATTGACAGACACATTTAGGCAAACATAATTTTGATGCCGGAATGAACACCATAGAATCATCGTATGGTATCCATCTCCGCCCAATCGTTCTACTTGGATCACGTTACCAAGGTCCGGTGACGTGAAGCCGGCATGCACGTCAACTTCCACGTTATACACCCACACCAATCTTGTGTTATCAGCTTGTGCGTAACGCAAGACGTAGTCTTCGAATCTTAAGGCAAATTGGCAATCCTAGCAAGTTCGATTCAAGTGGTACTGGTCCACTAGTTTAATTATGTTCACCTTTTCTGACACTCCAGCAACAAACTGTTTATACAAGCTGTTGTATACTCTTATAAGACGGTGGTCAGTATGGCTGACTTTGTTGACTGAACGTCATCGTTTTCCAACAACTTGGGTCGCTGCTTGTGATTGTCTGATCAACACGCGATAATGTACAGACTACTGTCACGGATACAGTTGCGTGCGGCGTAAAACAACAAACAAACAACTCTATTTTGTATATCAATTTAGTATTTAAGTTTACCCAACAACATAACGGCAGGGTAAACATTTCACAATAGGACACCAATTACCAGGTGCATGTCAAGATGGCTGACATAGGGAGATGACTGAAGTAAAGCAAATATATTACCGTTCTGCGTCAGGTTATAATCATAAACCACCAATTCATGTCATAATTGGCCGTGCAGTACCATATGTAACAGGACACGTTCCTTCTGTGACCCTAGCTGTGGTATTTGACTTGTAGAGTTATTGTGAGATCAGGTCAGGTTATCAAGTACACAGTCGGGAAGCCTTACAGTTAAGGATTTACATGGATAACGTCGCCTCCCATTACAATACAGAATCCACACAATGAGCAGGAGAAAAATGCCGTTTTTGTTCTTGTACTATTGATTTGGTCCCAGACAAACAGTCTGTACAGTATCGGGACAATAGTGACTTAATGTTTAAACAGGCGTAATGTTATGACCCGATAGATATACACATATGATAACATCGTTAAATGGTCCATTGAGTAGTTAAAAACTAGTCATTGATGCTTGTTTGTTATTCATGACATGGCTGTCTATATTCATGAGCCAATCAATGCCTACAGACAACACGTGACCACCAGTCAGTCACATCAACTGTCAAAACGACATTATCGGGCTAAAGCTAAAACGTGAAAAACTACGAAAACAAACGAAAAATATTTTGCAACCTCTATCTCATAGAAGCGCGTATGTGAATACGCTATGGTGTCACAGCTTGGCACCTTCGTCCCATGCTCCAAGTAAGTGTCTGGATGGTTGCTAAGAGACGATTCTTCAGTAAGAGCACTGCCGTGTTCCCGAAGGACAGAGCGTCGTTACAAAGTGTTCTTCAGCTCGTTACACGTGTGTTGAACTGGCTGAGCTCTGGTGGCTGGCAAGTTCTTGTAGACAGGCCTTCTCCTGTGAGCAGACCATATGGTCGTGCGTTATCCTCCATTAAATTCGATTGCGCCAGAATATGTTATGACGTACACATCATCTACAATGCCAACCCTTTAGTGCATATATGTTATTATGTCTCGATGAAGGACACGGAAATCGGTTCTTCCAGCTTCACTGATGCCACCCAAAATCATGATGCACCCCCCTCTATAAATGACATGTTTAAATCCTAAAATTGTGAACTACTGGAGTCCATTCCTGAACTGTCCACTTGACATATCCCTCAGCCTAGTCCAACCGTGTCTGCCTGTGGTGTGGGGTCAGTGTGAACACTTTCCGTAATCGGAGGCCAGTCTCACGGCTAAAAGATACGTTAACGCCACTTGCGTTCCGCAGGTCATTTCTGAGTGTTGTGGCAGTCACGAAGTTATGACTTCTTGCTTCAGACAGGAGTAATATGTCCTCCGGCCGAATGGTGGAGCACTATCGACCACCTGCATGTCCCCACGTGAAACTGAGACCCTGTAGGTGTTACCCACCCACTGTGAACCGGATATTTCAGTCTGCATTTGTTGGACGATGATTTTTGCTGTCATGAAAACTTGATCTTTAGCAAACTTTGAGTTGTGTATCAGACCTGCCAGTTATCCTCAGACTACTCGTGCACGTGGTTTTCTAACAATGGGCTCTAGTTTCCCTTCAAACCATTCAAAGTTGCTGTGAAAATACAGTCTGTGTGACAAATAGTTTGTATGAATGATTCATATTCATTCTTTCAGAGCTATGTATCCATATAGTCCGCGGAACGAAGTTTCCATCTGTAATGTAACACTGTGCCATGGGAGTGAAGCCTTCTGTAATGAAGATCTGTGTAGAGAGTACTACTTGGGGATGTGTATCATGAAATCTGAGTTTTGTAAAATCAATGTCACATACTCTAAAATGCAATAACTTTTATGGCAGAATCTTAATGATTAGTTGAAGCGAAGAAGAGCAGTCTGTATTTGATCTGTAGGGGAGTAATTTGGTCAATATAACGATATTAATAATTTAGATCTGTACCGTCAACGAGTTGGAATAGCCAGTAAAAGGCCTGATAGCGGTGTTAGCTATATGAATTGATCACTAAATGTCAGTGATGACGCCAAGTGTTCGCGAATACGGTAGAACCTGCACTTCAATCAGTTTGCGTAAAAATTGTCTGTTTGTTGCCTGGCGTGCGACGTCGGCTTGACAGAACAGACAATATTAATATTAATAACTAATGTGTCCATTTATATAGCGCCAAACTCTACACCAGGAATGCTCATAGCGCTAACAATGAAAGCACAGCACATTATTACCCCGGATAACCCAAGCTGCCTGTTAGGCGTTAGAAGGTGATAGTCACATGACTTATCCCCCCGGGTACCCATTTCCTGCTGGGTGAGCAGAGGCAATTTCGAACAAATTCACTTGCCTTAGGTGAGACCACATGTATCACATGTGCTTCGTTATGGGGCAGGACTGAAGTCCCGGGAACTCTCAGGAGTCAAGCTACCTCACCCATCCAAGGACTCTCTGCGCCCAACGTTGCTTAACTTGACCTGCTTGTGACCTGAGCTCAATGCACAGGTCCACACACCACCACAATAAAGCGACAAATTCATTGACACCTATTTTCTATTTGTGCTGAAACTAAAAACAAAATGTTAGTTCTGAATTACCCCTGCTGTATATAGTTTCAGAGCGCTGCTGCCTATTCATAATGAAACATGGGAAATGTGTGAGTGGCAGTTCTATGTCTAACAGTGGCTGACTCATTCTCCTCCCACAGAGGTTACTTGTCATTTCTTCCTACGAACCTCTGTTCTAAAACGTCCCTTTCATGGTGCGAGTGTTCAGGATTCGTGATTGGTTGCAATCAGATTTAGTTGTGCAATCAGCGACGTTGTTTCAAAAGTGATCATTCGCAAGGCCTCGGTTATTTCCGTATGCTTCGGGAAAACTAGAACCGCTTTCCCTGCGCGATGCGCAAACGTTTCTTATAGACAGAACTCAGTCATGTAAATGGCGGATCAATGGCGTCTCCATCGCCCTCGTTGACAACGGACAAGCTAGCCATTAAATGTCTTGTGTGTCACATCAACACAAGTTCCTGGCAGAGGAGGGATATTTGTGACCCAACATTTGCTTGTATTAGTCAAGTTGATGTAACACGTGTTCTGATTGGACAGAAAGAAGGGAGATAATTCGTGTTGCGATTTTTTGCCGCTAGGGGATTTTACGAGAACCGGGAAATATGAACGTATTAGAACAGAGGTTCGTAGGAAGATATGACAAGTAACCTCTGTGGGAAGAGAATGTGGCTGACTCTGCGTTACTGTTGATGTTCCTGAACTTCTGCTGAGACTCGGGGACTTCAGTGCAACGACAGACACGTCGGCGGAGTCTAAATAAACATATACCATCGACGCCAAAGAAGAACCAGTTCCTATTATCAGCAGGAACACATTTATATTGTGCGTTGTTAGAGCAACACTGCGCGACAGTAGCGGAGGTTGAGTTGGCCGGCAACATCACATCTCGCCACTATTTGATGAGCAAAACAATCTCCACAACGCTTTGGAGGTAATCCGTAGGTGCATCCATGGAGATTACATAATACGTATCGACTGTCTTGCAGGCATGCAAACACACATGGCATTCATTCAGTACACACCCCACGGCATTACAGGGCGGACTACATTCCCATAACTTTGGAAGAAATTAGGAATCATGTTGGCGCAATGTCTACTGAGTCAGTGAGTGAGTTTACTTTTACGCCGCTTTTAGCACTATTCCAGCAATATCACAGCGGGGGACTCTAGAAAGGAGCTTCACACAATGTACCCATGTGTGGTATCGAACCCGGGTGTTCGGGGTGACGAGCGGACGCTTTAACCACTGGGCTGCCCCACTGTCTACTGTCTCGCGACAGGTGCTACTAATACATATACCAGGACATCTGTTTCGTGAACACCCGGTGTCATCAACGTGAGTTCAGTGTCTTGAAATTACTGTTTCCGCATTCGTTGAATGTTCTTCTTGTCTTAGAAACCAAAATATGTGCATCACGTTACACCATAACAAGTATGAACATAGTGTTTTGTTGTTCAAAACATAAACCTATTCAAATCACATGTAGATGATGTGTTCGTATGACATATTCGATGTTGATATGATGCTGGCATCAAACACATGATGCTGGACTTATTAAGAGTGTAGAGTGAAGTGCTGGAATATCAAAGGTAATTTGTTCAACTGTCATTACCGATGTCATAATGAAATACGAGATTGATTTATTCATGCACCTCGTTCAATCTCCCAGTCGGTACAGCTCATACCGACCATCATCACGACTCAACCCTCATTTCCAACACAGTCCCTGCCACCCTAACAACCAACCCACTATCACCGCTAAACCCATCCTTGCCCTACTCCACACTCCGCCACCCTTACTGCCTACACAGTCTCTACGACTCAAACAACCCACCCACTATCACCGCTAAAGCCATCGTTGCCCTACACCTCACTCCGCCACCCTTAACCCCCTCCCCCCACAGTCCCTACGACCCAAACAACCCACTCACCATCACTCCCAAACCCATCGTTACCCTACTCCTCACCCCTCTACTCTCACCTCCCCCCACAGTCCCTACGACCCAAACAACCCACTCACCATCACTCCCAAACCCATCGTTACCCTACTCCTCACCCCTCTACTCTCACCTCCCACACATTCCCTACCACCCTAGCAACCCACCAACTATCACTCCCAAACCCATCGTTACCCTACTCCTCACCCCTCTACTCTCACCTCCCACACATTCCCTACCACCCTAACAACCCACCAACTATCACTCCCAAACCCATCGTTACCCTACTCCTCACCCCTCTACTCTCACCTCCCACACATTCCCTACCACCCTAACAACCCACCAACTATCACTCCCAAACCCATCGTTACCCTACTCCTCACCCCTCTACTCTCACCTCCCACACATTCCCTACCACCCTAACAACCCACCAACCATCACTCCCAAACCCATCGTTACCCTACTCCTCACCCCTCTACTCTCACCTCCCACACAGTCTCTGGTATGTATTTACACTTGAAGATTACGCTCTCTGGTGAAGATGTATTATTTATTGATATAATTTGCACCAGTATGTGAATATACTGCCTTTATCATAGGCTGTAAAATGTTGAATTTGAACAAGGAAGATAGGATATTTTCTTTCTGAATAGTTAGGAACGAACTGGTAACAGATTTATTAAAATTAATTTCAAACCGGACTGATGTCCTGGTACTCGTCGTTAAGGAATTTTAAATTGATCTTTCAGAATTACTTAGTAGTAATTCAATCCATATGGAATGATTAATGAAACTTGGTCCATTGTCTCTAGAATTTTGCCATGAAGCATGCCGGCATAATCCCGAATCTCGTATGGCGACCTTCCTGACACAGATTTATAATTCAGTTCCTCTTCGACATTATAGTCGATAGTCATCAATCACATTTTGCGATAAACGGCAATTTGACACTTCCCCTGATCTTGCAAAGCCAAATGCAAAGCTGGTACCTGTAGTGTGAAGACGATACCAACAGAAACCGGCTCATTAATGATTCATTTCTCTATTTTCAGACAGGTCATGCAACGTGAAACTGGAAATGCCATTCGGCCAGAATGTACAGAACCTAATCAACCTACATTTCTCACGATGTGAAGAAGAAACAGTCTAGACCTACCCCTTCCTCTTTTCAGTATGGCGTCCAATAGGGACCAGCTTAGCCTGAAAAGGCTTCGCAATGAAGAGATTAAGGCTTTGTTGGGTCCCTGTATGATAAGCTTCGCCATTCCCCTGTTGATACCAGGGTTGACCATAACTCTTGTAGCCTTCAGTGATGAGACTGGATTTTCGAAATATGGAGCTCTACATATCGTGGGTATCCTTATATTATCAGCTGCGTGTGTGTTGTTGGTAGCAGGGTGTGTTATCAAGTGTACGTGTAAGTCTAAAGTGTTTCCTATGATGCAAGTTGCTTCTCACAAAGTTACGACTCATGAAAAGCCAAAACAAGTTGTAAGCGTGGCCTTAACTAGAGATCGATTACCTCCCTTGAATGGCCCCCTTCCGGGAGGGTCTTCGATACTACGTGACCAAATTCCTAAAACGGAAAGGAGGGTCCCATCGTGGAGGTTATCTGGGACAGATTCAGGGAGTGATTCTGGGGACATAACAGTTTCTGCCTTGGAAGACAATCTATACTCTTCGCGATCGGAGAAGAATAAGTTACACGGGCTTCCTGCTAACAATTTCATGTTGGAACCGTCCAATAACAACACTGATAAAACAAAATCAGAGAGAAAAAAACAAACTATTTTGATAGAAAATACAGACTCTGGTAAGTCGTATGGCGGAACGAACACAACAAGTGCTCTTCAAGTTCAAAATGCAGCGTTAAGCATAGAGGATGAGGGACGATCAACTAAGGCCGCGCTAGCATGTCCTTCCTACACAAACATGCTGCATAACAATGGAGAACATGGGATACAAGAGGAACACAATCAGGTATCGCCAGACGAAGAGACTCGAATACGGAAGCCAGTGAGTGGCTGGGTGTCAAGACAGTCCGACGCAAAGTATGTATACAGTTGTATTTGCCTCACTTTATATTTAAGACATACAAGCCACAAAAGTCTTCTACATTTTTACGAAAAAACTACTAAATAAAAACATTGTCAATTTGGGGCATACCTTTATGAATCACTTTCGAATGGTGATTGCATCAGGTCACAGAAACAAAAGCAAATACATGATCAAAATAGAAATACAATCAAAAACAAAAACTCAACGAAGAAATAACCCCCAAACCAAACATGCATGATTAATTAATATTTCATCCGTAAAACAAACACGTGAGCATATGATAAATGTTAAAGTAGGGAATGGCATTGGAAATGATTTTCCACCGATGCATCAAGTTTCCTACAGATTCCGACCTTGAAACAAAATGTTAGTGCTGATGATAGAAGACATATTTTACAACTTGTGACATGTATACACCAAAGTCTACAGTTTCTGGAATATTGCTTGTGTTTTACTGGCTTTTGGATAGTTTTATGCCCCTCTGAATTCTTATGACCATATCAACATGCGAATCGATTAAGACAGCTTTACTAATCACTTACATATCTCTATATATTATATTACTTCTTATACATATTGATGAACGACTTCTTGTAATCGATATGCCTAAGTTGAAGTTAAACGTCTTGGACAACTTGCCATGGTTCCGATCACAAACACAAAGAAACAGATCAGCCAGAAGGGGATCGTGAATAGTGCCCATCTTGATGCCGACGCCATGTTTAAATGTCTTATTTATACTTCACATATAGATGTTGTCAATGAGGAAGTCCAGAAAATCTCATTTTCTTTTTTTCAGTTAACTCCAGAGGAGAATTGATATCATTTATGACAAACTGTTTGTGGTAAGGGACAGTAGTACTCTAAGTTTGAAATGTTTTTAGTAAAATTCATTCCAACTGTGTCAAATACTTTCTGTGAATGTAAAGCAAATCAAATTATGCCCTTATTTTTTCGGATCACTTTGAAGATTATATTAAGGATGATTTTGGAGATTGTATTTAGGAACATTTTGGAGACTTTATTAAGGGAATTGTGTAGACAGGGAAGGGATTGGTGGTACATTCGTTATTTCAGCACTATATCTCTTATTACGGTTTTTAAGGAAAAATTGTTTTTCAACAAACGTTTGTGTCCTCGAGGGTGTTTCCAAATTGGTTAAGTCTAAGACTTGTCATAATTTCAGGTTTAGGGCGGTAGGCATATGACCAAGTTCGCACAAGAATATGTGGTTGTTGATATCTGAAATGTTACAATCCTGACATCAGGATATAGTGGTTGGTATCGGGATGTGACTGCCCACACAGCAAGATACAGTGGTTGTTACTTGAATCTTACAATCTTCACAGCAAGATATAGTGTTGTTTTAATAGGAATGGTACAATCTTCACATCAAGGTATGGTTGTTTGAATAGGAATGTTACAAACCTTACACCATTGAATAGGAATGTTACATTCCTCACATTACGATATAGTGGCCAGTATCGGGATGTAGCCATCCTAACAGCAGGAAAAATTGCTGGTTGACATTGCAATGTTACAATCCTGACATCAAGATATATTGGCCAGTATCGGGATGTGGCCATCCTCACAGCAGGATATGCTGGTTGACATTCAGTGTTACAATCCTGACATCAAGATATAGGGGTTTGTGTTGAGATATTGCAATTCTCACAGCAGGATATGCTTGTTGACATTGCAATGTTACAATCCTGACATCAAGATATAGGGGTTTGCATTGAGATATTGCAATTCTCACAGCAAGATATGCTGGTTGACATTGCAGTGTTACAATCCTGACATCAAGATATAGGGGTTTGTGTTGAGATATTGCAATTCTCACAGCAGGATATGCTGGTTGACATTGCAGTGTTACAATGCTGACATCAAGATATAGGGGTTTGTATTGAGATATTGCAATTCTCACAGCAAGATATGATGGTTGGGGTCGGAATTCTGTTAATCCCGAAGTATTTGAAGTTTATAACTACAAGAAGGTGTATTAATTATTCGTTTGGAACATGTATCCTGATTATAGAACAATATATCATACCATGTATAAACGTCGACCATAATTTTGGCTTATCAGTTCGTTTCACGACTCTTACCGATGTTGAATCGTTTCATTGTTAATTTTACGTAAATTGGAATAACCTTCTTGGACCTATGATCAAATTGAGCAATAGTTGTGGATTGCCCTGCAATACAACCAGGTACGTATGATGACTGGGTGAGTCAGACCATTCATATTTTCATATTAACATACAAAAATACACGCATAAAATCCCATACAGTCTCTTTGTAAAATATAGTTCTGATTAATTGATAATCATCTGAATTCTAACTAGCCATGTTCTATGTTATACCGGGATACTTAAGTACACTTGCTTCAGTGCCAGAAATGAGCTACCATTCATGGACATCAAACAGACGATCTGGTGGTATCTGTCATGGTGTCAGTGGATGTGTCTGTGATGGTGTCAGTGATGGTATGTGTGGATGTATCTGTTATGGCGTTGTGGACGTTTCACACAGAGAAACACACCCGCACACACAGAGATACTCAAACACACGCGCGCAGAGGGAGATACTCAAACACACGCGCACACACAGAGATACTCAAACACACGCGCGCACACAGACACACACACGCAGAGAGAGATACTAAAACACGCGCGCACACAGACACACACACGTAGAGAGAGATACTAAAACACGCGCGCACACAGACACACACACGTAGAGAGAGATACTAAAACACACGCGCACACACAGACACACGCTTCTCTCCTGTTCACTAAACCTCCTCACCGTTTCCTATGTTCATGCTATATGATATCGTCAAGTGATATTAACACAAAATAAATGAATCAGTTACAAATACCAAGTTTGAGAATAAATATTCAATTAGAGATGTACAGATCAACCCAGCTTATTGTCTTTTTTTATGAGTTTTAAGGTCTTATAAAACGTCATGTATTCATTTCATTGTGTTGTCAATCAACACACAGCCAGAGATTACCATGGTATCAAAACTACCAAGCACGTTATAAGCCTAAACGTGGAGTCCAGATCTTGACACACACCCTAAAAGCCCCTGACCCCATACTGCAAAAATGAAACAAACACACAAACCCCCTTCCAAGAAACAAAAGAAATAAAACCAAACCCCCACCCCCAAAAACAAACCCCCAAAACAACAACCTAAAACAACAACCCCAAAAACAAAACAAAACCAGAATAATAACAAATAAAAACAAAAACAAGGAAACAAGCAAAGGAACAAACAACACCCCCTAAAACCCACACCCCAACCCCCATTCCCCAAAACACCAAAAACAACAACAAAAAACAAACAACAATAACAAAGAAAACCTCCATAAAAACCAACCAAAAAAACAAACAAAAAAACCCCAAATGAATTTGATAATGTCCTCCACATGTCTACCAGTTCAGATTCATTTTCATATGCTAGTAATTAATACCTTGGTCACAAAGAATTGACATGAAGTATAAGCGACGGGTTAGGGAGAAAGACTGTCGAAACATATACAATCTAAGAATGAGCCCATAAAATCCCTGAAGTCGGCGATATCAGATCTGAGAAGTGAAAACAGAGTAGAACAGGAAATGTCTTATCTATACATTCCACATTTAGATGTTGTCAGTGAAAATAGCATCTTCTGTTTTCAATAGACTACAGAGGAAAAACTGATATTGATGAGGTGATTACTAGCAATGAAAATACAAACACTGCCAAGAAAACCCTGCCCGATTTTGTTGTTCTTCTTAGACAGAAACAATATTTATAATTTCTGAATACTGACCAGCGAGCAGTGACTGCGAGTGAAGCCGGGATACTTAAGTAGACTTGCTTCAGTGCCTGATATGAGATGAAGATATTATTAATGGGCATCAAACAGACGACCTGTTGGTATGTGTGGGTGTATCTGTGTTGGTATGTGTGGGTGTGTCTGTGATTGTATGTGTGGGTGTGTCTGTGATTGTATGTGTGGGTGTGTCTGTGATTGTATGTGTGGGTGTGTCTGTGATTGTATGTGTGGGTGTGTCTGTGTTGGTATGTGTGGGTGTCTGTGATGGTATGTGTGGTGTGGTGTATCTGTGTTGTGTGTATGTGTGTGGGTGTGTCTGTGTTGGTATGTGTGGGTGTATCTGTGATGGTATGTGTGGGTGTATCTGTGTTGGTATGTGTGGGTGTGTCTGTGATGGTATGTGTGGGTGTGTCTGTGATGGTATGTGTGGGTGTGTCTGTGTATGTGTGGGTGTATCTGTGTTGGTATGTGTGGGTGTATCTGTGTTGGTATGTGTGGGTGTGTCTGTGTTGGTATGTGTGGGTGTGTCTGTGATGGTATGTGTGGGTGTGTCTGTGATTGTATGTGTGGGTGTGTCTGTGATTGTATGTGTGGGTGTGTCTGTGATTGTATGTGTGGGTGTATCTGTGTTGGTATGTGTGGGTGTATCTGTGTTGGTATGTGTGGGTGTATCTGTGTGTATGTGTGTGGGTGTATCTGTGTTGGTATGTGTGGAGTATGTGTGGGTGTGTCTGTGATGGTATGTGTGGGTGTGTCTGTGTTGGTATGTGTGGGTGTATCTGTGTTGGTATGTGTGGGTGTATCTGTGTTGGTATGTGTGGGTGTGTCTGTGTTGGTATGTGTGGGTGTGTCTGTGTTGGTATGTGTGGGTGTATCTGTGATGGTATGTGTGGGTGTGTCTGTGTTGGTATGTGTGGGTGTGTCTGTGTTGGTATGTGTGGGTGTATCTGTGTTGGTATGTGTGGGTGTGTCTGTGTTGGTATGTGTGGGTGTATCTGTGATGGTATGTGTGGGTGTGTCTGTGATGGTATGTGTGGGTGTATCTGTGTTGGTATGTGTGGTGTGTATCTGTGTCTGTGGGTATGTGTGGGTGTGTCTGTGATGGTATGTGTGGGTGTGTCTGTGTTGGTATGTGTGGAGTGTATCTGTGTTAGTATGTGTGTGTGTCTGTGTTGGTATGTGTGGGTGTATCTGTGATGGTATGTGTGGGTGTATCTGTGTTGGTATGTGTGGGTGGGTGATGGTATGTGTGGGTGTATCTGTGTGGTATGTGTGGAGTGTATCTGTGTTGGTATGTGTGGGTGTGTATCTGTGTTGGTATGTGTGGGTGTATCTGTGATGGTATGTGTGGGTGTATCTGTGATGGTATGTGTGGGTGTATCTGTGATGGTATGTGTGGGTGTATCTGTGTTGGTATGTGTGGGTGTGTCTGTGTTGGTATGTGTGGGTGTATCTGTGTTGGTATGTGTGGGTGTATCTGTGTTGGTATGTGTGGGTGTATGTCTGTGATGGTATGTGTGGGAATGTGTCTGTGTTGGTATGTGTGGGTGTATCTGTGTTGGTATGTGTGGGTGTATCTGTGTTGGTATGTGTGGGTGTATCTGTGTTGGTATGTGTGGGTGTATCTGTGATTGTATGTGTGGGTGTGTCTGTGTGTTGGTATGTGTGGGTGTATCTGTGTTGGTATGTGTGGGTGTATCTGTGATGGTATGTGTGGGTGTATCTGTGGGTTGTAGTATGTGTGGGTGTGTCTGTGATGGTATGTGTGGGTGTGTCTGTGTGAAGGTATGTGTAGGTGTGTCTGTGTTGGTATGTGTGGATGTGTGTGTGTGTGGTGGGTGTGTGTTCTGGTATGTGTGGGTGTATCTGTGTTGGTATGTGTGGGTGTATCTGTGATGGTATGTGTGGGTGTGTCTGTGATGGTATGGTATGTGTGGTGTGTCTGTGATGGTATGTGTGTGGGGTGTGTCTGTGTTGGTATGTGTGGGTGTGTCTGTGTTGGTATGTGTGGGTGTATCTGTGTTTGAGTATGTGGGTGTGTCTGTGTTGATATGTATGTGTGTGTGTGTCTGTGATGGTATGTGTGGGTGTATCTGTGATGGTATGTGTGGGTGTATCTGTGATGGTATGTGTGGGTGTATCTGTGATTGGTATGTGTGGGTGTATCTGTGATTGGTATGTGTGGGTGTATCTGTGATGGTATGTGTGGGTGGTGTATCTGTGATGGTATGTGTGGAGTGTATCTGTGATGGTATGTGTGGGTGTATCTGTGTGTCTCTGTTGGTATGTGTGGGTGTGTCTGTGATGGTATGTGTGGGTGTGTCTATCTGTGTGTCTGTGAGGTATGTGTGGGTGTATCTGTGATGAGTATGTGTGGGTGTGTATCTGTGATGGTATGTGTGGGTGTGTCTGTGATGTTATGTATGTGTAAGATGTGTCTGTGTTGGTATGTGTGGAGTGTATCTGTGAAGGTATGTGTGGGTGTATCTGTGATGGTATGTGTGGGTGTATCTGTGATGGTATGTGTGGGTGTATCTGTGATGGTATGTGTGGGTGTATCTGTGATGGTAGTATGTGTGTGGGTATCTGTGATGGTATGTGTGGGTGTATCTGTGTTAGTATGTGTGGGTGTGTCTGTGTGTGGTATGTGTGGGTGTATCTGTGATGAGTATGTGTGGGTGTATCTGTGATGGTATGTGTGGGTGTGTCTGTGATGAAGTATGTGTGGGTGTATCTGTGATGGTATGTGTGGGTGTGTCTGTGATGGTATGTGTGGGTGTATCTGTGTTGGTATGTGTGGGTGTATCTGTGTGTGGGTGTGATGAGTATGTGTATGGAATGTATCTGTGATTGGTGTGGGTGTATCTGTGATGGTATGTGTGGGTGTATCTGTGATGGTATGTGTGGGTGTATCTGTGATGGTATGTGTGGGTGTGTCTGTGATGGTATGTGTGGGTGTGTCTGTGATGGTATGTGTGGGTGTATCTGTGATGGCATGTGTGGGTATCTGTGATGGTATGTATATAGGAGGTGTATCTGTGATGGTATGTGTGGGTGTGTCTGTGATGGTATGTGTGGGTGTATCTGTGATGGTATGTGTGGGTGTATCTGTGATGGTATGTGTGGGTGTATCTGTGATGGTATGTGTGGGTGTATCTGTGATGGTATGTGTGGGTGTATCTGTGTTGGTATGTGTGGGTGTATCTGTGATGGTATGTGTGGGTGTGTCTGTGATGGTATGTGTGGGTGTGTCTGTGTTGGTATGTGTGGGTGTGTCTGTGATGGTATGTGTGGGTGTGTGTCTGTGTTGGTATGTGTGGGTGTGTCTGTGATGGTATGTGTGGGTGTATCTGTGATGGTGTGTGTGGGTGTGTCTGTGTGATGGTATGTGTGGGTGTATCTGTGTGATGGTATGTGTGGGTGTATCTGTGATGGTATGTGTGATGGTATGTGTATGGTGTATCTGTGATGGTATGTGTGGGTGTATCTGTGATGGTATGTGTGTGGGTGTATGTGTCTGTGATGGTATGTGTGGGTGTATGTGTCTGTGATGGTATGTGTGGGTGTATCTGTGTTGGTATGTGTGTATCTGGTGTGTCTGTGATGGTATGTGTGGGTGTGTGTCTGTGATGGTATGTGTGGGTGTATCTGTGATGGTATGTGTGGGTGTATCTGTGATGGTATGTGTGGGTGTATCTGTGATGGTATGTGTGGGTGTATCTGTGATGGTATGTGTGGGTGTATCTGTGTTGGTATGTGTGGGAATTGTATCTGTGTTGGTATGTGTGGGTGTATCTGTGATGGTATGTGTGGGTGTATCTGTGTTGGTATGTGTGGGTGTATGTGTGTTGGTATGTGGGTGTGTCTGTGAGTTGGTATGTGTGGGTGTATCTGTGTTGGTATGTGTGGGTGTATCTGTGTTGGTATGTGTGTGGTATGTGTGGGTGGCATGTGTGGGTGTATGTGTGTTGTGTTGTATGTGTGCGTGTATCTGTGTTGGTATGTGTGGTGTGTCTGTGTTGGTATGTGTGGGTGTATCTGTGGCTATGTGTGGTATGTGTGTGTGGGTGTGTCTGTGTTGGTATGTGTGGGTGTATGTGTGTGTGTTGGTATGTGTGTGGTGTGTCTGTGTTTGTATGTGTGGGTGTGTCTGTGTTGGTATGTGTGGGTGTATCTGTGTTGGTATGTGTGGGTGTATGTGTGTGTGTGTGGGTGTGATGGTATGTGTGGGTGTGTGTGTGTTGGTATGTGTGGGTGTATGCGTTGGTGTATGTGTGTTGGTATGTGTGGGTGTATCTGTGTTGGTATGTGTGGGTGTGTCTGTGTTGGTATGTGTGGGTGTATGGTGTATCTGTGTTGGTATGTGTGGGTGTGTCTGTGTTGGTATGTGTGGTTGTATGGTGTATCTGTGTTGGTATGTGTGGGTGTGTCTGTTAACACCAGATTTTGAATGAGCTCGCAGGGTATTCTGAAAACAAATCAAGACCATACATCGTCCGACAGTGTTGTTGGTTGTATATCTACATTACGAGCATAAGCAAATAATGTTATCTCCTCAAATGAGTGTTTCTTAAAGCTTCCTTATCAGTAGGTCTGTATGCACAGGTTATCACTGTCAACTCATGATGTAGTTTTCAACCTACGGTGCCTAGGGGCGCTAGGTGGTTTTCCTATCCACTTAACATATCAGATTACCGACCCCTACTAGGGGAACAGAGGTGATTTGAAGTGTGGGTGACACCACACGTTTTGACACTTCTGTTACGGGTGTAAGAGGGTATTCATATTTCTACCAGCTGACGTCCGTCACCGGATGTGGGTAGTGACAGCATTGTAAAGAATATCAAGATGGTCAGAGGCGGGATAGCTTTCGACAGCTCACATATCAGCCCCTTATAGGTTGCTTAAGGGGAGATATTCCAGAACTTAAACATGATTGTAATATAAGAATGGAGGGAAGTTGTTGAGAAAACATGCAGTGTTTTCACAAAGAAAACATCCTTTTATACATACATTCAGTAACAAAATTATCTTTCATGCTATAGACATGCGTCAAGGTACAGTAACTGAATGCTCCAACATTATCTTTCATGCTATAGACATGCGTCAAGGTACTGTAACTGAATGCTCCAACATTATCTTTCATGCTATAGACATGCGTCAAGGTACTGTAACTGAATGCTCCAACATTATCTTTCATGCTATAGACATGCGTCAAGGTACTGTAACTGAATGCTCCAACATTATCTTTCATGCTATAGACATGCGTCAAGGTACTGTAACTGAATGCTCCAACATTACCTTTAGCACCTTTTGCCAAATATGTAATGATGAAATATATCCGGGTATGATATATGGATAAAAAATGTGCAACATCAACATTCATTCGTTAAGAGTCGGTTGGCAAGGGAACCAACTAGACAGGTTGTCTCTGCGGAAGATTGTGTGGGACAAGTTCTCTCACACCCTGTTTGGTGCAAATATCAGACATCTACACCGTAAAATAACCAGTCTCGGGTTTCTGCCGTAAAAGGTGTAAAAGGTAACATAGTGGAGACAATTATAAGAATGGATATGTGGATGAAAATCTGTGAGAACACCAGGTGTTCGTGAAAGAGGTAAGCATGTCCTGCTCTACCCGTATGACATATCGTGTCATGTCATGTGTACGTTTTATGTGGTTGCACAATGTTGGAAGCTTGTCATGCCATATATTTTATATACAACGAATGACAATGAAATGAGAATGTTTTGATATCATGCTGGTACAATGTATTAACATGCAGTATAATTTTCCGTGAAGATTAAAACTACTCTTCAGCAACCCGTGCTTGTCGTAAGAGGCGACTTTCGGGATCGAGATGTCGGTTTCACAGGAGACCATATAATAGGTTCCTGGTTACACTGGCGAGGTTGATGCATGTCATCGTGTCCCTATAGCGAACATCGATGTTGAAGACATCAATCACTTGACTGCCTACAATATTGCTGAATCTGGCGTGCAACAACCCAAAAAACAACCTGGTTTAATCACCACATTGTGTTTGTAGGTTGATGGGGGCTTCCAAGATTTCACCCGAAACTCTCTCCCACTCGGAATCATCAGAGGTTACCGACGACCGTGATGCTGATGATGATGACGACGACGCTACACTTACTGAAGCTTCCAGAAACTGCAGCACTGTGCCGGAGATAGCTGACCTTGACCGAGATGACGCTGTGGAGGTCGATAGGTTTAACAATGTATGGAGGGGAGAAAGTCAGAACTCTGTTGAAATATCCAGCGTGTTGTCTCAAGAGGAATACTCAGAGGAGTCTCTATCAGTTGTGTCCAAGGATCAGTTGGAGATCGCGGAACCAAGCGGGTCTAGGGGCCGAGCGTCCACCGACAGTGCTATGGAGAGCGGGGGTGACCACTCCAGAGCTCTTTCACACAGGATCAGTGACAGAGTGGAGACAAACGGTCGGCTGATGGAAGATCTTGAGGGTGGGGGTGAACGACCCATACCTCCGTCCCGCAGAGTTAGTGACAGAGTTGAGGCCAGAGGTCGGCTGGGAGACAGTCTGGAGGGTGTTCAGCCTAGGGCTCTGCCCCGTAGAGTCAGTGACACCAGCTTCCGGTGATGTCTGAAGAGAAGGGAGACAACTCTGTAATTTAATGCTACGTATGCTACGTATTAACGCCTATCTCAGGGCAGCCTTCGGAGTGTATAATGAGCTATGATGCTACCTTGTACGTGCCTATCTCAGGGCAGGGGTCGCAGTGTACAATGAGCTGCCTATCTCAAGGTACGGTTATATATTACAATCTGATGCGAGGCTTCTTTAAGTACACTGTCTACGGGTACAGTTCCGACTGTACAATGTACACTGACGGTATCTACAGGTCCCTTCTCAGGGCAGAGTTCCAGGCTTTTGCTATGCTTCAAGACATCCCGTTGACCTGTGGGTGTATTTGTTGTTCTTTCACAAACTAGCAGTATTACTTACAACGACACCGCTGTGATACGCAAATAGTAGGGCAGATATACCTTTTTATCTGTCAACGGATTCTCATGTTTTTATGCTTCACCTACTTTATACATACTTGTGAAACCAGTGTTTGTATGTAAATACAAAGCAAAGAATATTTTTTTGTATCTAAGATATTTACATCATTCTCATCTTGCCACAAATCAAAACTATTTGTCTACTGTTAAATGACACATTAAACACATTTATTAACTAAAAACGGCTCACCAGGACCTATACTTTGTGTCATGACAATTTGATAAACATGATTCAGAGTTTCAAGGATATGAGTTACAAAACATTATGTTTTAGGTATCGCCTTTTTAATAAAGGAACGTTGTGAAGAACAATGATTAACTGATCGTGATGAAACATTCATTGCTAACATGTCCCGTCGGAACTGTTGATCACAAGTCCAATTTCGAGATGATCAGACATCGGAGTATCAATATGTATGCCCTCAAATTCAATGATGGAAGTATAAAAGGAGATACACTGTGGTTTTACTTAGTTAAATGAAAATACATTAATATTTTTATGAAGTATTGATAACTGATATACATTTGTTCACTTCTGTTCCCCCCATTCTGACACCATGTCTAACATCTGGCATTATACATCTCACCCACACATCCAAAGATCGCCATGTAACTTGTTTGACTGTTGCCAGTTGTACATATCTACTTTACGAGTGACAACTCATGTCATCCATTGTGAATCGAGTGTGGTGTCATATATCAGTAATTGCATTATCTTAGTATTTAGCGATCATGATATATTGATCGATATATAAGATGTTGCGTTACCGAGATTGTATGGGTATTTTTATTATGCGATGTTATTTCTTGAAGTAGTAATGCCACAATGAAATGACTCAATAAATTGTTCAATGTTAGAGTGGGCCTTCCTAGATTTCATAGGGCAATTTGCGTCTATGTTTTTCTTAATTAACACACTTCCACTGACAGATCTATCGAAACTTTCTTAGAAAGTTAGCCAGTAGAGTTTTGGGCACACAGGAATTGTATCAATGCATCAGGAGCTTAACTGAAGTACAAGCAGGTTGAGCTAATTTACATATTTATCGGATAAGATGCTAACTGTGTAATAAATTTAAAAGACTGTATTACTTATTTCCAAAAGATTAGTCTAGAGAAGCAGCTTGGTGCCATGGATAATATCAACACAGTGTTTCCTTAGCTGATGAATACACATATATTTCTGCAACCACCTTAATGTAGCAAACCAGATTATATTTTTAACATGTTTATGAGGGATGAAGATGCTTATCGGAGATATTTATTGTATTTAATAACAAATACCGGCATAGAGATTTTTGACAAATAACAGAAGGTATTTGTGGAGTGCTTGTTGTCTGATTTGTCTTGAAAAGTCTCTCCTAGGGGGCGTCGTCAATGAATTATTTGGATTCTTTATAACTTTGCACATCCAAAGGTCATTTTTGCATATGACATTAACGTCAAAGTGTCCATTGCTCCGATATCGCTGATGTCGATGGATACCAAAAATACATGATGTAAATGTCCACACAACCTTCACACCTTTATCATACCGATGTCCACAGAACTGCTAAGAAGTACCATATAAGTTGTTCACTAGTCACGAGGGGGACATGGGTTGATGTACCCTCTATGTTAACATAAACAAACAGAGGGTACATCAACCCATGCGCCCCGAGGGGCCAGTGAACAACGCATTTATCTTACCGAACACCTCAATGTTAATTTTGAACTGTTTTGACGCACGGGCATTAGATCATTATAAGGAGTACCGGAGTTAGGCATGAGCCCAAACACTCCTAACACGTAGTACCTAACGAATTCCCACAGTTCGGCATTTCCAGCGGGTAACATAGAAAATGTTACTCGCTTGTAAGCGGGGTACATTTATTGGCTTAGCCAATCAGAAAACGACATTTATATGTGAGGTAAGATAAATGTCTATATATAGCTCATACGTAAAGAATATTGTGGAGATCTATTCTTGTAATGTCCAAAGAGCCTTATGCAAATATTGTTAATGTCTTCAGAACATATAAGTGTGAAATATTTATGCAGATGATATACATGTCCACAGACAGATCATACGTAACAGCATTTAACATAATAAATGCTCATAGGGAAATGAACAATCATTGTCAGCACAGATAAGTTTATGTTGTGTTGTCCACTAAACTAAAACGAACATTCTGCTAACACCCAAAGAGCTTATACGTTTATATTGTTTATGTTCATACATCTCCTACACTTTATAACATATATAAACTGTTATATGCCTGTAGAACTCTGAGAATGTACAAAGAGCTCATACGTAAGTACCCTGAAATGACAGTTTTGGTTGTTATGAATTTTTCACTGTGATGTTACGAGTTGTTATATCCTTGTATAAACCCGTGGGATACATCAACAGTTACCTGCTCCAGGTTTGTTATGAAAAGTTGCTCTATTTTCTGTTATGACGTAAATACTTCACAGAAGGACCAATTTCGAATAAAATTGTAAACACTTATTTTGAGGGTGTTATGTTTTTTTAATTGCAGCATATTAAAGTATTTTTGTCCATTATAAAGAACACCTTTCTGCTACTCTAGCATTCAAGAACAGTTTCTACCAAAACTTCAAAACTGTACATACATTCAACGAACTAGATATTGCAGAGTAATGTTTTTGAAACGACCGGATGGAAGACAGTGTATTAGATACGCTCTGCTAATCTTTAGTGAACTACTGGGAAACATTGAAAAACATTACAGGAAACACTGAGCTCTCCTCAGTGGTGTTTCCTCCACTATGATACTGGGACATGGCATCAAGGCGTTACACGAGCTGCTGTTGAGCCCCTCATTACAGTTATTGAGACAGGTAATGTTGTTTTACTACTCTTTTGGTATTGATCGAGCAAGGTGCACAAGAACAGCACTGACTTAACGACTGCACCCACAACGAGAAAGGAATCCTGAAGCCTCTATTTAACTGCATGTTAACACCAATATTTCTGTCGATACCAAATATTAACATGCCGAATTATAACTGCTTGGCCCACTCGAACTGATCTCGCTGTAACTTTCTATATCAGTGACAAACCCGTTTCCATAATCATGAAATGAAACACAAATAATATCATTCTCAACTGAAACAGAACCCATTATGCGATTCCGGCAATATAATGAGTATCTGTTAATGAATCACTATCAAACAGTGATAACAGAAGGTGTTGGTTACACATGGTCGTATCGTGCCATTCCGGTTGTACCAATCACAAACAGTAAAAACAGAAGGTGTTGGTTACACATGGTGGTATCTTGCCATTCCGGTTGTACCAATCACAAACACACGCAATGACAAGGCAAAATCGAAAAACAACAAAAATATACAAAAACAATGGTAACGTTTAGTAAAAATCTAAATAGGGGAATATATCTGTCAAATTTTGAAATGTCGTCCACATGCCTACCATAAAGAGTTGTGAAGTTTTACCAAGGTCTTGAATGTTGTGATATGTTTTTACAACAATTCGTCGTACGGCGCCCTTTGAATTCTTCGTAGAAAAAGCATGCTCGATTACACTTAAAAACGAAGTGAAATGTAGATTCTAAATGTTAAAACGCGAGTGTTGGGGAATTAGCTCGCTTGGCAAGAGGTCTGACTATACCAACCCACACACAACACAACACCTGAGTAAAATAAGCAAGAGTTTATTACACAGCAGTCACTGAACGATTTTACATAATCAGTCAACAACAGCATAGTTTACAATTAATTATTAAAACATGTTCACAATGCAATCAGATATCAAAGTACATAAACAACACATGTAGATTCGTTACACACGACAGATACTACATTAATCGCGATGCATATTCCAATGTACACAACAATAGTTCAGTACACTACACATCACCCCAGTGGGCGTTCATGCAATCTACATTCTGTAACGGTCCCAAACAGCATAGTGTTCACATGGTAATACAATAGGTAAAATATCCGACACACTATGTTATAAACATTCTATAATAGTCACTGTAGTGTCAATTAGTACTAAATAAACAATCCTAAACGGTAATAGAGAAGATATGAGAAACATACTAAGGGATGCCTCGTTCCACATAGACCTGAAGGTACTGCCAAGGGTGGTAACTTATAGTTAAGGTATTTACAATAGGTTAAAGTTAACATAGAATAACAATAGTATGTCAAACTAGAAGGAAGTAAAGTTTCTTACCTGAGTGAATTTGCTAGACAGCCACCCCCTTATTTGTGAGTGTCATCCGTAATATAAATCTATTCTAGCTATCGCAGACAATCGCGTTTACAGATTGTTATTGTGAACGTGAGATTATGTCATTTAGTTGGACCGAAGCATCGATGGCCAGTCGCGAGTATGCAACGAAGGTATATGTGGCACGCACGTGATTTTACCAACGTGGAATACAAACAGCCGTAAAGACAGATAAACGTAATGCACCTTGGTTCTGTTAACTTTAGAGATACTGGTCCCGGATTAAGTCCGATGCTCGTTATCAATGTGACCCTTGGCAGGTTTCAGATTGAGGAACGTAGTCGGTTAGTCTGTAATATTTCCAGTTTTCAATA